ATACTCTTCTAATGTTTCACCTCAGTACTTTTTGTGTTTTCGGTTTTCCGTCACTAGGACCATTTTGCATTCCTTTTCGCCTGCCCGAGTGAAATTTTATCTGGTCGGTCTTCTTCTTGTTGTTGCCACGATCAACTTGAGAGTGTGCATCAAGCGTAGATCTTGAGAGATTATGATCCATGCGCTGGATAGATTCGGTAGGATAGATCCGTTTTGGCAACCGCTCTTCGTCCTGGTGTGATTTCAGTCAGTATATATGGAGTAAATGACAGAAGCCCTTAAAATATCCATTTAAACGCCCCAGGAATGCATAACAGTAGTGGGTACGCCAACATTGTACTGTTTTGCAAAAATGCATAAAAATATTTAGGGAGTATAAATGGTAAAAAGGTGCGGCGCTTGTGTAATAGCAGCGTAAAACACGTTCACTGCATTTCCACTATGAAATGTTCACGGGAACCAACTTTAATGTGAATAGAAGGTCTGTTGAAATCAAGGAAGTAGTATGTTTTTATTAATGTTAGACATGGGTTGAATATTGGGTTTGACCTCTAAGAGGTGATTATCTAGACGCCTCTTGAAAATACTCACATTGGGAGAATGCAAAAAAAGATTTCAACTTCCGAACGACTCTTTGAGAGAAGGAGGATGAGCGTTGATCTGTGTGGTTCATTTCCTTCTTCAGTTGACAGTTATGTCCTTTGAGGTTACTTCTTGGGGCCATTTGAAAGAGATCCTCCCACTTGACATCCAGATCAGTTCGCCTTATTAAATGAGCCATTGCTGTAAGGTGACTTCTGTCTTGTCTATAGGGGAGGTGATAGAGATTTAAGGCAGTCGGGCGCTGCTCTTATGTCAACTGTTTAAGTTCAGGGACTGCCTTAGTATCATGTCGTTGGACGCCTTCAAGAATCCCCATGCATTTCTTAAGCTAAGGCCCGTACCGCATACTCTAGATGAGGCCGCGCGAATGCTCCGTATAGTTTTCCTAAGATATTTGCATCCAATTTAACAAACCTTCGTATGGCGCTCATAATCGATATTACTCTCGCTGCAACTTTGGAGCACTCTAATCTGA